AAACAAATTGCTTCTATTTTAAGATTGCTTCTATTAACAATCAACTATCTCTAAACAAGAGAAAAAAAAAAAGGGATTTCGAACCTTAATTATTCCGGAAAAGAATTCAATCAGGATATAATTTTAACAAAATCTCCGTATTCAAATTAAAAAAACTTGGATAACCTAATGGACTGGCGACGATATTTTTATATCCAACGGTCTTTCGAATTGCGTTAAATTTATCCACAACAAACTTCAAGATTGGATCCTTCAAATCAGGCCATTTCCAAGCATAAGTGAATAATATTTTGGCGGCGTTTTCTTCATCCAACCTGTCAAATATGTAATTCTTAATTATCGCTCGAAGGTCATCTAAAAGGTACTTTTCAGAAATAATGAACAAGGACCAAATACGATCATCACAAACATCATTGTAAGGTGGTATCTCGTTCGTATACAAAAAATGTAACATTGCACGTATCGTTTCTTGGTTGAAATCCACAATTTCGACTTCATATTTATATTGATTCGAATTATTGTTCTTTTGATTTTTTGACGAAGTTCTTTGAGGATCTGCAGAAATTTTCGAATGACATTCTCTCCATTTACCATTAAACATGGTCTTGAAGTACTCCGATCGACTTGTCAGGACGGAACTACTCGCGTACAGGTTGGATCCATGTACCTTAAATTTCACGTCTGCTCGATCCGAATTGTTCAAATCCTTGGTCCAAGCATTAATTAAATTAAGTGGAACGGATCGAAGTTGAAAAAAACTATCCACGAGGTTATCCTCCGCTCTATCGGTGTAAATCTTCACCCCAACAATGACATCATTTAAAAGCAAGGATCGAGAACAGCACATCCACATACCCTTTACCACACCTTTTAAAAGATTTTAACATGAGAATGAATTTCTATCTATCTATTGTGAATTCTTTTTAAAGCATAAATAATCGTTTACTTACACTCAAGAATGTTTTCTTTACTTCTTGTTGTCCCGTACTTGATGACTTGTCCACCTAAAGTCTTTACAAATAACGCTATATCCGTTATATTGTTATAGCTACAATGGTTGGATGGATTCTTGTCTGATTTGAGTCCCAGTTTTGGCATTAGGCTTAAATTGAAGTTTTCTTCTCCATTAAAACGCTACAAAATGAAATTATCAAGTTTATGAAATCAATATGAGAGATCACTATAATTTGAATTGGACTTACGGGATTAAAGGATAATTGCCAACTATGAATGCCTGACGTAGAAAATATTGGAAAATCCACGGGAACGTTGAACTTTTTTACATCATTCAAAGAAAATTCGAAAAGGCACGTCTTTCCTGTTGGAAGACTCATTTTTAAATTGTTGGAATTGAATAAAAAAAAAAAAAAAAGATCAAATTTAAAAAATTAAAAGGTGAAAGACGTCCTTTTATAAGGTCTTCAATTCCAAATTAGGAGGGAAATTTCATGTTTGAATACCATTTTAATCGCGTCATCTAAACATCATATTTAAAAGACCTGTTACCAAATTATGCCGATCCGAAAAAAAAACAAAAAATTCTGATGAATTCGTGTTGGAGATTTTTTTTTTTTTTGATCTAAAAAACCCTAATGTTATACTTCCTGTAATATGTAGTAATACAAATAATTATGGATCACATGCTTTTGTGCTTTTCTTCTTTACCACGATAAATAAATTTTAATTTATTCTAAATTCAACAACTACTAGTCTTAAATCATCTATAAAGATTGTTTATCAGAGATGGTTATTCCTCATCAAAGAAATTTTGAATAACAATTTGTAATTAGATTCTATTAAAAGGTTCTATTGGATCGATGGTTTTTATTAAAACATCTGATCCGAGTAATAAAACCGATTTTCAGTTATTAAAAAAATAAATGAGTATATATCTGTATGTCATTTAATTATTTCTTTTAACAATCTTTTACCAAAAAAAGAAAAAAAAAACCCTATCAAATTGTAACAAAAGATATTCGGTCATCGGTGACTACAATAATAGGGGGTTGATTTTTGTTAACAGCGGAAATGGAAAAGGGCGCGGAAATTCACCGTGGTATTTTTTATTTGTAATACAAATTCGAACGAAATAGATTTCTATTTTTAGAAAAATAAGGATATTTTATATTTGTTTTGTAAAAAATTAGGGGAAGGGGGAAAAAAAACAAACTATATTTTTTTGGATCTCCAAACAGGTCGATCCTGTGAAGCGTTCCACGACGAAAATATGAAAATAATTATTATTATGATTTTTTTTTTTTTTATTACTTTAGAAAACTAATTAGAAAACTAATTAGAATAAAAAGAATAAAAGAAAGGATAAAGATAAAGATAAAAAAAAAAAAAAAGAAAGAAACGTCATCACAGATTTTCATCCTCCGAGTATAATTCTAAAATCATTTCTTCAAGTATTTCATGATACATTGGATAGTCTGATTTCGAAGAAACGATTTGTTTAAATCCTCTCGTCTTTCTAATTTTTAAAAAGTGTTCAACGTTAAACGTTATGATGATATCTTTTAAATCGGGCCATTTCCACGCATATTTAAATAACATTTCAGCTGCATTCCTTTCGTTCAGTAGATCAATGATATGAATTTTAATCCTTTGTCTCAATTCGTCCACAAAATATTTATCCGAAATGCTAAACAAGTTCCATATATTGTCTAAACTATAATTTACGAAATTGGCCTCATCCGTATACAAGAAATGAAGCATAGCAAGGACGGTCTCATAATCAAAATCCGTAATTTCGATCTCATATTTATGTCGATTCTCATTATCATTTGCTGAAATTCCTTGTTTATTGCATTCTATCCAATCACCTTCAAACATTGTCCTAAAATAATCCGACCTCGTCGCAAGAATTGAACTGCTTGCATAAATAAATTTATCCTGAACTTTAAATCTAACATCTCCTCGATCCGGCTTGTTTAATTCATGAGACCACGCGTGAACTAAATTTTCCGCCACTTGTTTGGTTCCAAATGGCATTTTGGGAGGAACTTTAGTGAATCGAACATCACTAAATTGTATATTAATAATTATATTATTAAGTAGCGAAGATCTTGGACGTTTGTGAACAAGAACTATATCATTGAAAAAAAAAGGAGGGAAAAAAAATTTATTTTTGGTTTTTTTTTTTTTAAAAAAAAAAAAATACTTAATTAATTCAATTAATTCATTCTTGGATAAATTAAGTCTAATTTTTTTTTTTTAGAGTGCCCAGACTTATGCAATACTTAAAAAGTCATGCATTTTTTGCATCCATCCGCAGCTTAAATTTAAAATTTAGGTAGATTGACGATTAACGTAATCTACCTCTTGTGCATCGCATAATTCTGGATACTCTTTTAATTTTGATTACTTACATAACCCGGTTTTATTAAATATCTTATCATTCGTAGAAACTTCATGGAGAATATCCCCTGAAGGAGATTTCAATATCACTTTTAAAGGCAAGAAGGTATCCGCTAACCGATCTGATTCTTTGTTGAGTATCGTACAAAGAAGGATTTGATAAGTCTTTGGATCATTCGTATACTACTTTATTTAAATTTTTTTTTTTTTTTTTAAAAAAAAAAAAAACAAAAAAAAAATCATTTCATGAATAATTTTTTTTTTTTTTTTAAATAAATTTTTTTTTTAAATGTATAATAATTTCATTCAAATACCGGGTCAAAGATCAACACCCAATGTCGACAAGTTGACGTTGCAAAAGGTGGTGAATAAATTTTCTCCGTTACTTTTAAGACATTTTCAAGTTTAAATTCAAACGAACAATAACCTCCTCGATAACTCATGTTAGTATGTCCGAAAAAAAAAAATGTATTCAAATAAATTGGGAAAAAAAAAAGAAAAAAATTTTTTTTTTATTCGGCTTTTTATTTATTCAATAACCTTGTTTTACAAATATTTGTAGGAGAAAGCAGGTTAATCAAAAATAAAAAATTCAAAACTAACAAGTACATTTTTATTATATACACCAAGTTACACGGATGTGAACCTATCTCGATTCCGGAAGCTTACTCATTCAGGTTTTTTTCCTGGAGAGACTAATTACCATGTGATAAATAAACATTGCAATCCCCCAAACAAAATAATCTTAACATCTCGTGATAGAATTTGAATTCCGATAAATTTTCATAATCCGGATAACAAACTTGTTGCTAATAATCAGAACTTTAAAGTTGTATAGGTGATGTCATGAATGGTTTGAACTAGGAAATGATCAATGAACCTTTTTATTTTTTTTGATAACATTAATGATGATCCTGCATAAAACATCTAAGATGTTTGAAATTTTGTGAAATGCATGCTCGTGCATTCGTGCATACGAACATGCCAAACCGTTTTTAATTGTTTAAATAATTATTTTTTTTTTTAATGTAAAATACAAATGAAAAAAAAAAAAAAAAAATAGACTAATTATTAAATTTACTTTATAATAAAATATAATTATGTTTTAAAATGTTCTAATTATTGTTCATCAAAAAAAAAAGACACTTTTAGTAACAACTTAATTCAATTTTGAAATTTCTTGCTCGATATGATCTTGGTTTTCTTCATCATTTATCCTAAAAATATTCATGGTGAGCTTAACTTATTACAAGAATGACCACTAATTATCGGGTTAAAAAAAATTTTACCTTTGAGTAGTTGCTTCATGACTTGATGAACTACCACCATGACTTGCTCTTATTGTAGATTGTTCGTCATCCCATTTACTATGAAAGTCATCATCATCATCATGTTCGTCTCCAATGTCAAATATAGCAGACCCATTATCATCATGTAACCGTTCAGTCTCGGGTCTAAACTTCACATTATCATACCCAAGATTTTCAGCTGCTCGAAGGTTATTGATTTCCAATTCGTATGGATCATCTTGTGTTAATTCTTCACTCATCGCGAATGTAATTGACGAAAAAATGAAAAGTTAAGGATTAAATAAAGTGTAAAAAAAAAAAAAAAAATACTATTATAATTAAATCATTAAATCAATCCAAAGGATATCTCTTGTTGTTTTTCGTAGGTCTCCAAATTACGAGTATGACACAAAATACTATCAAATATAATATATTCAACCATCCATCCAAAAGAAACCATCTCCAAAGCCAATATGTAGATATCCATCCAGGATCTTCTCGATGAAGGTAATTGAACATATTTATGAAAAAGAAAACTCCAAGAACTGTGACCGAAAATACAAGCAGCCGATACAGACGCTTATACATTAAAGCTTTCACGCTTTGTTTACGAATTTCAAGTGTTTGAAGTGTGATGGTTATCGATTGAAGTGTCCAAATATAGAATATTGTCATCGTCAAAGCAAGAGGGAAAATCACTAAGAGAACGAGAGGGCTAGCAGCATCAGGGTCCAAAAGCATTGTGCCCGATGCATAAATTATGCCAAACAAGAAATGTGTTGCGGCTAAAGCACGACATTTATTCATTGTGTTTCCAAGTGTAGGTCTACGGGGTAGCGATAGAATATATCTCTTTAATTTCTTTGTAAACATATTATGTGTCATATTAAAATTTTTACGTACTTGACAACACCATAGCCCATGCACACAATCAAAAGCATAAAGAATGAAATAGAATTTCTTCCAGCATTAAGAACAGCGACCAAAATAATGAGGAACGTGGCTAATAAATGAATTAAAGGAAAAAGTAAAGATAATGACGTGTCTCATGGATTATTTCATCTTATAAACAAACCTACATGAACGTCCGTACGTATTATAATTCTCCCAATATCCCCAATTGAAAGCCATTTCCAACATTAGAAACAAGACGACTCCAGATATATAATTCTAAAATAAAATCAGAATTTTGATATAAAGTTAACGTCAACTTTTTGCTTTGCTAAATACACCAAGCTATCTTATACCTGAACAGGTAAAATTTCGCGCCAATACATTATGCTTAAAGTCATCCAAACGATACCGATCGCCAAATAAACTAATGACAAAAGTCCATAGAACTTTGAAATATTAGACAAGTAAAAGTTAGAACCCTTTCGTTGATAAAGTTTTTGAAAGTTTAAAAATAATTACAGGTAATTTTGGATACTCTGCGGCGGGTAATTCTCCATAAGGATTTCGCCAATCAATAGTAACATAGTATTCATATTCTTCATTATTAGATGGTATAGGAAATGCGACAGCACAATAATATCCTGTCTTTTCAATGGGGTAATGAATTGTTTTTAATGTCTCCTTTGAAGAAGCATTAAATAAGTGAGTGACAATGGACGTATCATTTTCGGGTACAATGAAATTATTTCGTTGAGACTCGGGACAATATTCATTTTTAATGGCAGCATCATCGCAAATGTAAATTTTCTGTACAAATTTTTTTTTTTGATTAGTTATTAAAAGTCAAAGATAATTCTGGACGCAAAATCAAACGAATTCTTACCTTCTGTTCGATTTTATCTTCATGGCCTAATTTAACGATATCTTGCCATTCAAGTATAACTACCGCGGCATTACTTTTTGAATCTGATCTCCATTTTACTAAATATTAAATGAAATTGTATGAGCGAATTGCAACAGAATAAACTTTAAATTAGTCCGTATATAAAATACAAAATACTCACATGTAACAACAGGTTCCTTCCCTCCAGGAATTGCTGATTTTTCATACATTCCCGAACATCTTGGCACATCATTATCCTGTTAAATACAGAAAAATATAAAAAATGAATATGGTGTTATGGTTAATAAATAAATAATCTTATGAATCTTACCAAAGTTTCTTCATTAGCGCTTATACAAGTTACCCACGTTAAAAAAACCACCAAGAGGGACAATAATGGCCACAGTGTTGACCGGACCATTAGAATATTTTTTTTATTTAATAACAAATAAAAAGAAAACGAAAAAGAAGAAAAAACCCGACACAGCCTAAAAATTATCATATCACGTGATGAGAACACGGTGGCAATAACTGATTGGGCCATAAAGAAAAAGCATCCCGATCTGTTTATCCCGTCTTGAAAAGTATTTCTTCCTTTCTTCCTTTTTTTTTTTTCTGTTTTTTTTTTTTACGTTAATATTACCTAAGAAATGTATTAGAGAACCCAGGTTCATTTCAAAATCACAAGTTGAATTCTGATTTACGTATAAAGAAACAATCAGCTGTAATAATAATTACAACGACGAATATTGCTATTGCAAATTTAGAACTTCTTCCAGTTCCTTTTATAATCTTCAGCTTTCTTCTCTTCGACTTGCGAAATTGGTTAGATGCCGATGAATATTTACCCTTGCGTTTCAATTTTTTCCGCATCTCTTTCAAGTCAGTCGTAAACATGATTCCACTAATAACAGCCATTGTGCTAACAACTTCTTTTTAAGTAAAAAAATTCATTTTAATTTACGGGTCATTGGTCCATAATATATAATAATTACTTACCAGGTTCGGATATAGTGAACTATTTAATAATAAACGATTCTTTTAATTGAAGTTATGATTTCAAGAAAAAAAAATAATAATAATAAACTTACATTTAAAGTCGGATTAATCACTTTTAACTTTGTTTTGTATTTACTATTTTCTAAAAACTTTAAAATCAATGATTTACTTTTTTTTCGGCATATTTTTGGCTTGAAAACAAGGTTGATAGGAAGCGTAATTCGTTCAAATATAGGCATTTCCTTTCAGATGAAAATTTGGAGGAAATAGAATGCTTTGTATAAAGTCGATCGGATCATATTTTTGGGGGATAATTTCATGATATGTCACGTGATAATGAAGGATATACCCCGAGATCTTATAGATGTAAAAAAAGTTCCAAACATGAAAAAAATACCAAGAATTGTACCGTGGACATCCCCCGAGGAATTTCAACAAGTTCATAAATGGCTCTACGCGGAATCTCCGAAGTCGCGTGAATTAGGAGTTAAAAGGGTACAAATACATATCATTTCAATAAAAAAGTTAAATTTTCTAACTAAACGTAATTATTTAATTAGGTAAAAGCTTGGTCCAGTCGTGGAAGAGTTCCTCATGCGATTTTAAGTACAGCCGCGTTCGTTGAAGCATCGTTAAGAGATGATTTGGGATACGGGAAGATTACAACTCATGAATTGAGATTATTATACTCAATGGTTTTTGTTAGGTATGAGAGTAATTTAATTCAAACCATCATATTTATATACATATTCTTTAATCATTCTTTATCTTAGGTTTGTAAATGGAATGGTAGATCCAGCTCAACAAGGAGTGTTTGCTTCATCGATAGCCTCTATCGCAACTAAATTACATATGCCATTGTGGTTTGTAGAATTGCGTCATGCGGCAACTCACGAACGTCTTCCAAGTCTGCAAATATTACGAAATGGATGTAAACATGTACCGTATTTTAATTATTATTCTATAATATTATTTAGGAACAATTAAACTGATTTATAAACTTATTTAGGCGTTGCAATGGTTAAACGAAAACTTTTGGTCATCTCAAATGCCATGGAAATCAACACAAATTGATGAAATGCGTTCTATGGTATTACAATATAAAGAACTTCGAAAAGAGAATATGAATAGTTATGAAACTAATGAACGCGATCCATCCACGAAGGTTGTGAATAACATAATGGATTTAATAAGTGAGGAATACATTAGAGAAATACTTATTTCTGTTTTATTGGAACCTGGAGTTTTGGTTCCTATGGCAAAAAAAAAACGTGTATTGGCTCGGGATCTAAGTTTATCTCAAGAATTAATTCAAATATGGATGCCAATGTTGAACGCATTTGGAGAAAAATGGAGTACTTTTGGAGATGAGCTAATATTTGGAATGTTGGAAGTTTTGACTAGGGATAAGGATGACATAAAACTAGACATGAGCATCTCTCAATCTAAACCTGCGCATGCAAGTTCCAGCTATCGCATGACTTTGGTCGCATGGATCAAACACGTTTTGAATATTTATTATATTGAAAATACATCATTATTTGCTTATATAGAAGTGAATGATATATTGGAATTATGTTTAAGTAAACCAAACGCGTATACTCAATTGATATTACAAATTATGGCGGAACGTGATGAAGATTTAAATAAAAGTATTACCCCGTTCCTGAATTATATTGAAAAAATGCTTCATGTTAAGGATATTATTCAAAATGTTGAAGATATACCCAAAATTACTGAAGAAGATATGAATGCTGAAATAATCAAGTTAAAACATGATCTGGATAAGGCTAATAAATTAATGAAGGTGAATTTATAAATTTATTAAATTTATTTGGATATATGACTTATTAACTCCTTTTTTTTTAAAATAAAAAAAAAAAAATATATTAAAAATTTAGGATGTATCTTCCGAAGTAGTAATATTAGAAAATAGTGATAATACAATGCTTTCAAATAAGGAATTTGCATGGAAGATGCATGATCTTAATGAATGGAAACCTTGCGCTTTAGGTTGTTTGCCTAATGGTCAAGTTCCTTGTTTAGATTTACCGTTGGAATTAGATGGTCCTAGTATTCTTAATTTTGATCCTATGTAAGTAAAAAAAAAAATAGACAATAACAATCTTTTTATTCTTTAATTGACAAGTTCTTTTGTTTATGTAGAGATGATGTAAATATGATGGATACAGATAATTAAAAAAAAGGTGGGCTATAAAATAAGGAAAAAAGAATAAGAAAGAAAATAAATCTCACATATCATTCAATTTATTTAGTTGCAACAAATACATATAGGTTACAAAAAAATGTTAATAAAAAATTTTCTTTATAAGATTTCATAAATCGTAATAGCAAATTCTATTTGTTATATATTACAATTACTATAAATAATGTCAATTTTCTTGTTATGCTATTTTTTTTCCAAATGAATCATAAACAGCAACATCTATGTATTTTCTAGCACTTTTTCTTGCTTCAAAACTTGTTTCACATGAACGCAACTCTAAATACTTTAATGACTTTCTTTCATAGGCATATGTTTTAATTACTTCAAGATGATCATCATTAATATTCCCTAAGAAGCCCAAACGTTTCAAATCATTTTTACAACCTTTCATTAGAAAATTTCGTAGTGATTCTACTGTAAATGTCCAACGTACAAAGATATTGAATTGATCCAAAGATTTAGGAATAGCAGCACCAATTATAGGTAAGTAATGATCAATATCATAAGAAAGTTCCCGACGATCTGATAACGTTTTAATCGTCAAACTCTCAAGATTTTTACAAGATCTCAACAATTCACGAAGAGATTCTAGATCTGTTCTTGCAAAGGGAACATCAAGATATGTTAGGTTTGGACAATTGTCCGCTATCGTCTTGATGACGTTAGTTGGCCTATCGTACCAAGACAATGAAAATGTAAGTTCTTGCAAGCTAAACCCATTCGTCAAAATCATGTTTATAATAATGTCAGCCTTTGGCATACAATGTGTGAAGCTTAATTTTCGAAGTCTCGGAAATGAATTAGATACCAATTCTTTCATATCATTCTCTCGAAATGGTAACCAATTATCGAATCTCAATATTTCCAATCTTTTACATGATGCGAGCACATTTAAAGAACCTCCGTTATCTATATAGTTTCTATTATCCTGGAACACAATACATCTTAGAGATCTCCTCAAATCTCCATCGTTTATCGCATTTTTTAAATCCGGACATCTTTTTATAACTGTTAGATGTTGTAAATGACTTTGAACACTTAAAAGCTTAGATACATATTCATCATTTCCCCAAGAGCAATCAATGTCTAATCGACTCAAATTGGTACAAGCTTCGGAAGCGATTTTCAGATTCTCAATTATACAATCATCACAGTCCAAGTAACTTATATTTGGCAAACGTTTCCGAACCATCATTTCATGTTTCTTCAAAGATATAAAATCTCCTTCTCGGTGCGTTATCACTGGAATAGAAAGTTTTGATAGGTTTCTTGACTTCTCCATGAATTGTTCAATAAGCATCTCCAGAATAGTTTTTACTGGATAAAAAACAATGTCTCCTTCTTCATTTTGGTAACGATCCAAATCTTGTCCTTTACACCAAAAGTTAACTGCATCATATAATGATGAAAATTGAAGCTCATGTAGAAAAGAAGCGTAATCAAACGTTGGGATCTTCAGTATTTCCGAAGGGAAACCTTCAAATAATTTTAATTTTTCTATGGATGCATCATCATCAAGACATCCAATAAAAGTAGAAATTAAACCTGATTGCCTTATCGGCAAAAGATTTTTAAATGGAGCGCGCCATAGGATTGGAACCGCAATTCGACACCATGTTCGATTTACCAAAATGCATGAATATAATGTTTTTTTATCGTTATTAAGATATTCAAGAATTGGGCGTAAAGTTTCTAATAATTTGAAAATCGAAGCCATTGTGATATTATCTTGTTAAAAAAAAAACTCGTGTTAAAAAAAATGTATATATATATATAGGTATTTTACACGTTTTTTTTTTTTTTTTTCGTTAGAAATTACAGTACATGGTTGGTTGATTTATTGCATTTGTTCACTAAATTTGGCTGATCAACCATCATTTTTTTTTTTTTTTATAAAAAAAAAATTTCTACCAATAATTTTTTTTCACTCACTTCATTCACTGCAATTTTTTTTCTCACAAAGCAAATTATAAAAATGGATCCAAGAAAATCCAAATATGTTAAATATTTAGATAATGATTCATCACCAAAATCAAAAACGGGTAGATCAAAGAAAAAGTCAAAATCAAAATCAATAAAGCAACAGCCGCCTATTTCGATTTTTGATAAAAATTCATTAAATCAACAATGTCAAGCCACATCTAATAATTTTCAAAATACAAGTCTTTCAAGTTCTTCTATTAAAGCCGTAATAGATAAGAATAAATCACCTAAAAATAAAAACTCTAATAATTCACCCACAACTTCAAACCAATATATTCTTCAAAGTGAATCTATATCAAGACAAACAAATCTTGAATCACAAAGATCATCGACTTTGTTAGGGTTTTCTGACGGTGAGATATCATCACAAGAAGACCATGACCCATATACGACAAAAATTGGTGGAAAACCGACATGGTTACGCAAAACGCATCCTTTATCACATGACGTTATTATCTGTAAGAATTGTGATAAAGATATGTTTTTGCTGTTTCAGGGTTACGTGCCTTTGGAGGGTTCCGTTTATGATAGAGTGATATATGTCTTTGGATGTAACCAACAAAAATGTATGAAAAAAAGTGGAAGGTGAGAAAATCATCATTCATGTATTTAATTTCCTTTATTTTATTTTATTTTATTTTTTGATTAACATATTTGATTTGCTTTTTCGTAATAAAGTTTTCGTGCATTTCGGGCACATCGAAAAGATGAAGATTATGAGAGAAAATATCAACAAGTGTGGATAAATAAACAAAGGTCAAATGAAAAGGTCTATGATAATTCTTCGACTCGATCGTCCAATGTGTGTTTGCTTAATTTATTTCATAAAATCGTCTATTATTTTATCGCAGAATAATTCTAATTTATTTACAAAAATCAATACATTTCAGGTTATAAATGGAGGGTTAGGTGATATGTTATTTGGAATTATAGATTTTGATAATTCAAATGACGTAAATGATATGCAGGTTCTTGCCGTTGATGGTGAAGAAAAGGTAGATTTTCAATCGATCTTTTAATTTATTACATTTTGGCGAAATTCCTTATTTAATCAATTTTTATATCAAGGTTTTAAAGAAAGAGGAGAAATTAGAAAGGGTTGATAAAGTGAAAGATTATGAAGATGAATTGTCTCAACAAGAAATCAAGAAAAAGGTGACATATGATACAAGAAGGCAACCTTCTTGGAGTCAGGTCATTTCTGATGCGGAAAAGGCACGAAATGAGAAGAGTCAAGTGTCAAGAAAGAGGGATGATGATGAAGGTGTATCACAAATCGCTGTTGATATGTCTATGATGACCTTAAATAGTAAGTTATAATATATTCGGCGTGATTTATTATTAGGTTTTGCTTTAATGATACCAAATCAATCTTTTTTATCTACGGAATTCCAGCAAGTTGGCCCGAGCATATTAAATCATTTGCGGCACAATACCTGTGTATCACTGAGGAAGTGTTGGAAGAGAAAAAAATTGATGATAGTTTTAAAAAGCACTGGTCATACGAAGAAGTCCAGGACTTTATGGATAGGGATCAAGAAAAGGATAATTTTGAATGGTCTGGAGAGAAATATGAAAAAGCAACCTTACCAAAAGGTTATGATAAAACATTTCAAAAATTTTCTGATCGTGTAGCGGAATGGCCTGAACAATGCGTAAGGTAAGATAAACATTTCTTTCGGTAATATTTTGAAAGGTATTGATTTGCAAATATCCTTAATTCACGTTTTTATTAATTAAATATTTAGGTACCAATTTGATGGTCAGCCATTATTATACACGCGTGGTGATGAAACTGCAAAGCTACTACTTTCCAAAATCGATGATCGTAGTGATAAGATCACAACGTCAAAATTACCGGTTTGTCGTTGGTGTGAATCCAAACGAGTTTTTGAATTACAATTGATGCCAAGTATGTTATCCATTTTATCTACTAGTTTATTTATTGATGGAGACGATGAAGGTTCAGATAAGAAAAGTATATTTAATCTCGGTATGGAATGGGGAACCATTATGATATTTACCTGTAAGAATGATTGTGAAAAAATTGGCGTTGGATCTAATGAAGTTTCTTATTATGAAGAGGTTGTTATGGTTCAGTATGAGTTATGATGTAAAGTGAGGAAGAAATTTATAAATTATGGAGTAAGGAAAATATTGATCAACGCATCGGAATCGAGGGAAAGATTAGAAAGGAACTATATAACGACATGTTACGATAAAGAAAACAAGATAACTTTGATTGTCAACAAAAAAATGATAATAAATAAAGCCCTTACCACAGCTCGGACCGAAAAAAAAAATCGAAGGTTCAGATAAGAAAATTATATTTAATCTCGGTGTTGGATCTAATGTAGTTCTTATTATGAAAAGCTTGTTAAGAGTTATGATGTAAATTGAGGAAGAAATTAATACAATATATAAAATTAGGAGGGAAGGAAAATCAATGATCAACGCATCGAAAATCGAGGGAAGGATTAGAAAAGAAATTTTAATCGAAACTATGTTACGATAAAGAAAACAAGAAAACTTTATGATTGCAATCTATCTATATATAGTGAGAAACAAATTACCTTCATTATTGAAGATTATGATGGTTGTATTTTTTTGAAAATTTAAGAATTTCGTTTGATTGATGTAGCTTTTTTTTTTTTTTTTAAAAAAAAAAAAAAAAATTTGAAAATTTTTTATATTGCAGCTTTCAAACCATAATTGATTGTTTAGTGTGATTTTAAGTGAAGAAAATAAAAAATGTTGATCAAACATCAAAATTTAAGTGGGGTTTTTTTTTTTTATTATTTTTAAATCAATTGAAAAAACAAATTATAATATATATAAGTAGAATATTAACAATGAACATTAAAATAGCCATCAAAATAAGAATACTTATGAGATCTATAAAAAGGAAAATAAATAAACTAATTTGATAATTAGTATCTAATCTCTTGGTTAATGTTCTTTCTTTTCTCCTCTTCTCGGATTTCAAACATTATTTGAACAGCACAAAATATAGAAATGCAACATATACCGAGTGATATAAGACCTAAATAAAAATAACAAATATAAATTGTATTAGAACATATTTTTCAACAAAGAAAAAAGATATATATTATATATACACTAACCATCAGATGTTCTAAAAATATCACTTAACAATACTTTCATACCGTCTAATCCAACGGCAAATCCGACCAAATTTGCAGCCCACATGGTGAGTAAATTTAATACACCACCAACTGCACATAAATGTCTATAATATGGGTAATCTCCAAACTATTACCAAATAAAGCAAAACTTATTAAATATACAAATTTCTTTTAACATCTTTAAAAAAATTCTCTATATGCTTACCCTCTTTTCAGTGAATATCCTAGTAACTATAGTTTCAGGTAAAATAAATATCCAAATTAACCAACCCCATGCTAATAACTTCAATGATATATCATGCCATAATGCGACAAATGTAAATACGATCAACATGTTATATGTTGAATATTTTACTCCTCCAAGTGGAATATAAATATATCTATCAAAAAGATATAAGTATATGTACTTAGGTAATTTTAAGTAAACAGAGGAATTAATGCGAGACTTACCTAATAAGCCATCTATTATAACTTCTGTGCCAACTTCTCCAAAATCCCGACGTAGAATAGTTATTTAACATGCATCTCAACATATTCTCTTGTACTTCGAATCCATCGGCCATCGCCCAAAATCTAAAAAATCTCCATATAATCAACAACTACAAAATCAAAAAATCATTTTTTTTTTTTAGCCATAAATCTCAACATTTTTTTCTTTTTCTATTTCGTCTTTACTTACTTTTAACCAAATATATTTTAGATTGAAAAATCCAACCATACTTAATTCAAAAGGAGTAAAACCCATCCATGCTCTTGATTTACTTATAGCTACAACATAAATAAAATGTAACATTATTTCCATCGTAAGTATTGCCGCTAATAATCTAACTCCATAAATGAATGTTGATTTTATGTCAATTTCTTTTGGATACCTCAACTAAAATCAAAATATTTGTTAAAACATTTGCTTTTTAAATGATAGAATAAAATAATTTAATACTTTTTTTTTACTTGCCTGAGAAATGAAATTGTTAAAAGTGATGATGGGTCCAGCAAGAAATAAAGGCGTATACAGTATATAACTTAAATAATTAATATAATTATAATCCTCCTTAAAACATGATCCTATAATTCTATCTTTTTCCGTCAATGGGGCATGATCTCTATCATTTTTCTTAAAACAAAAAAAAAAAATTGTTTAATTTGGTTACAAATTAAATTTGTTGTCTTGCGTTACCCAAAGAAGAAAAAACATTATTTACATATGACTCTCCCAAGATTACCTCAGTCGAATCTGGTGAGGGATGATATGACCAATAATAATCCATATTAAATGACACCATACGTAACATGCAAATGTTAAATGTGACATCCCATCGAGCTAATAATCCTACATTTGAATCCTAAAAGAAAAGGTATAAAAATTAAAAATGAAAAAAAAAAAAATGAATGAATGAATGAAATTTTTTTAGCTTACCAAAAATGCGAGGCTTTCATTAATCCATTCAAATTTATACGCATCATATCTTTCATTAGCGAATAGAACAGCCAAATTAAATATCCAAGTAATGATAGGATTCAACTTTGATCCTTGTAATGTCATTGTAATTAAAAAATTAATGCTCAAGATGATCAATATTTTAAATAAACTATTTCCAAAAAGGATATAAAGGAATATTAATGCAAATGACAGGAAAAAATAGGTTCTGCGAAGTGGTTGCGTTGATAATTTCGCTGGGGACTTTGGTACAAAGTAAATTCGATATAAATGGGAAAGAAATAAATAAGATATTAAAGCCAATAGTAAGGCTCCATAATTATCTCGGAATGACGCAAATTGAGCGTCACTGTTATCCTATAAATTAATAAAGAAATTTTCTATTATTATTATTAGAAAGATTGATCGAGAAATAAAGAGAGATTGAATAAATTCACATGCCACTTTACGTCCAAAAAGCCATCCATCCTCTAACCTTTTAGAGTATATAGCATAATTTGGATTCGTTTCTAAAAATAAAATTAAAAATTAAAAAAATTAGTAAAAAACTTTTTATAATTTTATTTAAACCTCTACATACCTTTACTTATATGATATCCTACATAAAACATATACACAATGGAGATGATTACGATAAAGAAATGAATATAAAATTCCAACGTGTTCCATAATGGAGGATTTAATTTTACAGGACGTTTGGATTTCGTCGTTGATATTGACGGTGAAGAGTCTAATGAAGTATATTTTGTCGAAGAATAGTCAGCAGTAGCATCTTTTCCTTTTCCTTCTATATTATTTAATTCATACATAGTTGTATATTTTTATAGAAAAAATAGAATAAAGAAACTCGTAAAAAAAAAAAAAATAAAATAAAACAAAAACCAACTTTGGGGAATGAAAATTTCGATTTTTTCAAAATTTTTGATTTATTTTAATAAACCCAATTTAGAAAACTGTAATTATCAAGAAAAAAAAAGTTTATTCAACATGTGGCATCAGAAATACAAATTCGTCCAATAAAGAACTGATCTTCGATTTTTAAGTATTGTTCAAGATTTATTTTTATTTTTTTATAAAATTACAAGTAATTAACATAATTATACTAATATATATAAGGAAAGATTGTGATTAGAATATTTACATTTTGCAATTAAGGTATGATGAGTATGTAAGTGTGTATTGGATCTCTAGTAAAGAAATAATGAAATGAATTAAATTGATAAATGAAAGAAAGTTATGCTTAACGATACTAGAAACCCATGATATATGAATGTCATAATGTTGTATTCTCTCACTTTGCAAAACTTTTGTTAGAAGCAGCAATGAGATAAACAAGTACAAGGCTAACAATAACTGAATTAAAAATACATCTTCTTCCCCATCGTTTGGTTTCCGGATCTTTTCCAAAAAAACCAAAAGGAATACCAATAAACCATAAAGGCCATAATATATAACCAAAAAAATAAAGTTTTTTGGTGATGGACCAGGGATTTTGAGGTTCAATTGGAACCAAATCATAAGGAGAGTCAAAAGAAGCTAATTTTAAATTTGTTGTATTTTCGGCTGGATAAGAAGGTGGCACATCAATCTTTACATTATCATAAGATGGGAGAGATTCTGATGATTGATTTGTTGGTAATTCTTGATGTGAAGAAGAATTTGGAGAAAGGTATACGGATGTTGGAATTGAAACATCTTCTAAAGTTGATGTAGTAGTATTAATTCCGTTATCGTTATCATCTTCAGGATAAGCTGGAGGTTCACTTCTAACCGTATTAATTATATTTGTATTATGGTCTCCGGGACTATAATGAATATTAATTGAATTAATTGCAATGGTAGTAGACATTTTTTTTGTTTAAAATGTGTTTTTTGGGGAATAATATTATTTAAAAAGAGAAAGAAAACAGAAATGAGTGAAATAAAAAGATAATAAAAGATAGAAAGTTTATCCTGCTTTCTTTTCTTTTAAATAAATTTTTTTTTTTTGATTTTTTTTTTTCAAGTTAGAAAGTGATTTTATATAAAAAGGTCATAAACAATTATTTTTTATTTTTTTTTTTATTTTTTTTTTTTTAAAGAAAACTCACACATTATATATATCACAATGTGGACGTATTTTTTTTTTGGCATACTATATATAGTATAGTAATGTAATATTATAATAATATTGTATGATGATTTGCCAATTTTTATCCAAGAAAAGTAAATAAATAAAAACAAGACGTATTGTTTATAGTATTGTTCCTACATTACAATTTCTTTTTTTCTTTACGTGTAACTTTAAATTATTCAAATGAGACATCTATGTTTTATATTGTTGTTTGAAATATGTTGATGAAATTGGTTATCAATTGGATCACCTAGTTGAAAAATTTATGGACAATGTAAAAGCAAAAAATTTTCGATTATTCTTTTAAATTAATAAGTGCGTATCATTTCGTTAATCAATCTAAAAATAATACATTTCAAAACTAAAAAGTATCATTTTTTAATGTCGCTTTCTTTCACGTTTGTTTTACAAAAATATACCATTGTAATTTATTTTAACACAATGGAAATTTTAAAGAAATCTTCACGTCAATCAAGGAGTTGAACGGTCAGGACGTCATTTGAACATCATTAAAGGTGGTTAATCTATCTTCCATCGCATATTGTTTATTTCAAATCATACGAAATAACCTAAAATGGTATTATTAAAAAAAAACTTTTTGGTCTCCAACAAGAATATCGGATAATACGAGGCACGCTAAACGCTCATCAAAAAGTATTTAACACGTGTGTATTTGTTGTCAAATGGAGGCAAACATTTATCCAAAGTCCGAATGAACCTTAAATTATTATCAAGGTAACGTTAATACATCTTGTATAATTATTTACCAGTTTGAAGAATTATACTTGATTATTATTCTCTCAAAGAATATTCACGTGATCCCTTTACTTGGATTATTTTAGTATTCCCATGCTTAAAGGGTTTTATTTCTGAAAAAACGTGTTCAACTAAAATTATCATAGGCCTAAAACATAATATTGCCTATTTTTATTTTATCATTGTTGTAAAATTAATGAAGTATCTGAATGCGATCTAAATCAACAAATCCCTTTTTTGATAAACATTACTTTTACCAAAAACATAACTATTTTTAAAGTCAAAGAATAATTACAATTAAGAAATTGCCAAAAATACACATATTCCAAAACGAAGGTAAGCCTTACTTAGAAAAGCTTGAAACCTTTAACCCCCTCATTGTTATCTTAAAACAATACTGCAAAAAATAACTGGATAAAGCTTTTTTTTTTTAGAATTTAAAATTACATAATAAAGTTAAAATTATTTTAGAGTTAATTAGCTATATTTGAAAAAATATTCCGAAAAATTTCAAATCCATTGTTATTAGCAAAACAGTTATTGATAAGGTAATAGCATGCAAAATTCCATTCCTTTAAAATTATTTTAAAACATTTGTAATCTTTTTCATTTAACATTTGATTAGTTAAATTTTTTAAAAAAATTCATTAAAAAGGTACAACAAAAAGTAAAAATGTCAGTATTCATATTTCTGAAATTCTTGCCATAAATTTTGATCTTTAACTATCGTGCTAATTCTAAAATACTTTATTATATCGTACGTATAAGAATTTATTTTTTTAGGTTCATACAGATAATATAAAAATTCACCTTTTAAATTATATCATTGAAAGAAACCTGCATATTAATTCTGGATTTATGACGAGATATTGCGTTTGAATTTTGAGATCAATTTTAAGCATACATTTTTCCTGTTATATTCCCATTATTTCAAGTAAGTCATGCTTCTAGAAATTAAAAATAATTAATTTAGACATTTTTAACACTTTGAGAGCAACCATATAAATATTTCACAAATTTTTACCTTAAAAAAGCCGCTTGTTTTTTCTATGTACTGTAATATAAGTATGACTAGATACTCGGGGTGGTTATATTTTATATCAAAATTTTCTATCATCGTTTTTTAGCATCATCTTGATTATGTCTTTTTGGACGCCGAACTAAAATATGTATACGTCGTGGATATAATTACCCTTCAGGCAACTCTATAACAAACTACTTTATTCAATACTTTCAATTTTCGAATTTTTTTATCTCTTCGTTTTTCTTCAAGTTGAAAAGAAGTAACCACTTCTTTTATATCATAACTCTTTCTTAAGCTTACTAATAAACGCATTTTTGGGAAATTTCTACTTTGAAAGAATGGTTTATTGATTCGCTGAAAACGAGACAAAAAAAAAAAAAAAAATGTAGCAAAATTTTCACTCATAGTTAACGAAAGAGAGGAAATTAGAATCATTGACTTTGTTATTGCTATAACAAATATTTGACGTGAATATTTTTCAAGTGTCAATGATTCTTAATCGATTAATTAGCTTTTGATTTGTTGTGTATGGGGAATTCTTGAATTGTGAGCGTTATTAAAATGGGTAAGTTTCATCGGTTTGCCTTTTTATCTGCTTTGCACAAGTAAAACAAAAATATGTAACGGAACTAATCAAACTTACCTTTCTTTACATCAATGAGATAAATCCGTAAGCAAACTAATCGAATTTTCCATAATCCCCGGCACGTGCATTGTTGGTTAAAGTTTGGCGCAACACCATGAATATTTTCAACATTGATTCGTCAAGAAAGTCGAAACAAATTCTGAGACTATATGAAATAGCATGAAAAAAATTAAAGTATCAAGTATTATTTTTTTTTTCACTCATTTTTTGTTTCGGAATTTGAAATCCCAAACCTTGATCTATTCAATAACGGATTTCAAAATCCAATTTATAGAATAAATATTAGGAAAATGTCTATAGTAAAAACTAGCAGAGCCAAACAAATGAACTCTGCTAGTGTTTCGAATTTTCGGATTTTTTCGGAATAAAATTTTAGAATTGATCTTAAAACCCCGACGTTGAAAAAAAGCGAAAAAAAAACCTTTATATATAAAGTTATTATTTATTGAATACATTGCATCCCTTTGGGACCATAAACATCTTTTTCCAAGATCGTGCAATTTAGAGAGAATAAATAATTAGAGAATATATAAACTTTAAAACTGAATTATAAAAGGTGGTATTTGATAGAGATTTTACTATTTTCACTCATAATTCAAGAAATACAGTATGTATTTTTTTTATTCACATTTCAATTGCCTCGAATGATTTTAAGTAGAGAAAGACATTCAAAATTTTTTTTTTTTTTGTTATTTTTGTAAAATAAAATTTTTGTTAAATGACAATTCAAGATCCCGTGGTTTATGCGCGATCGAATAATATTTAAAAAAACGAGAAAAAGAATTATTAGATTAATTAAAAGTCTCATTTCAAACTAGAATAGTATTTAGTAGAATCGTTTATGAAATAAAATTATTAATTAAAATGTTAAATAAAAATAAAATAATAAAGGTGATAGTTACATCGCAAACTTTTATAAATTATAAAGGATTACTTTCTTTGGTTCGTAATCTCTAACCAAGTCCGATGGTTTCTATATCTTGTCATAATCCTAGCCTATTTTTTTTTTTTTTTTTTTTTTCGTGAAAAAAAAATATTTTCGACCGCGGATATGATATTTTTAGTCGAGTTTAATCCTTGATTTAATAAGATTTTTTTTTTTTTTATTCATTATTTTTATGTACTTTATTGTAATAAATTTTTTTTTTAAAAAAAAAGAGAAAAAAAAAATACAAATAAAATAGATCATTTAAATGTCCCCTTTTATGATACTTGTATATTTAATTCCGATAGCATAGAATTTAATGCATCAACAATTTCTTTGATTTTC